GTTCCACGGGAGACATATGAGGCGTTCTGCTCCCGTAAAGATTTACAGCCTCGTAAACCCTGTGCAGGGTCGCTATGAGTCGGAACTGACTCCACGGCACTTAACAACAACAACAACAACAACACTTGCAGAAAATATGTAGCAACTGTGACTTCTTAGATTATCATCACAGCACTGTTGGTCTCTCTTTATCCACCTACTAATTTTTTGGCTTGTTTGTTTTGGTATTTTCTCACAATTTGATACTTTGGGGAGTTACCTCAGGTTAATTAATTACTGTGATTTGCATTCACAGAAATTTCCACAAATGGTTCATCTTATTCTGGGAATGTATTTATTGGAGATTGTTTGTTTGTTTCTATAGCATTTTAGATATTCACTCATTTTCAGATGCTCCTCCTGCAAAGCTGTTTATCAGGCACATGCCCTAATGCTGCTGATGATTTGACCCATCCACTCTTATTATTATGGAATTTTTTCCCCTTAATTATCCTAGTTAATTGGTTTGACTCGCAATATGCTTTTTGAGATCCAAATACAAACTGTCAGTGTGACTTTCAGAAATTAGTTTTGTTGGCATCTTACAGCTATATCCATGGACCTGATCACTTGTAAAAAGTATGAGCTCATACTAATATTTGAATAATCATCTGGGCTTTGTCATTTTAAGTTAATGCTATGTTTAAAGTGGAGTGAAGATGCAAACTATTCTACTAGGCAATCTTATCTGTCATTTTATAAAGTTGGCTTCTCAGTTTGTAAGTGGGCACAATGCCAGTAGGACAGATGGGTTCCTGAGAGAACTAGAGCAAGCATCAATTTGACAATTATGTGTTAGATGAACATCCAAGAATATGGAAGTATGAGGATGTCAGATTCATGTTAAATTGAAATTGCAATAATAATTTTGTAAGCATTTGAATAGTGAAAACTGTAGCTTAGTTTTATGTATTTAAAAATTTGCCTTTTAGAATCCATTGTCATTTATTAAATCCTCCTTGAAGGTTAGTATTCCCATAATGCTATTCACACAGCATTTTAACAAAATGAGTGTGTTGGGAACATCGGAACTGATTACTAGTAGAGGGAAACACTACTGTTGAATAAATTTTCATTTATTTTTAGCTGGTTTTCTTATAGAAAATTTGTTTTAGTCTTTGTTTTGGCTAATATTTTTCCAGTATACTCAATAACATATATATGAGACAACATCCAGAAACAAAACAATTTTTTTAAAAACTAAGCAAACCCTTGTTTATCTGTATGTAAAAAGAAATTTTAAAAACTATGACAACATAAGTAACTATTGCTTAAAAACAAATATATTTTCAGTTGATTGTACATATGTGTTTTTTATGATTGAGTGAGAATAAATCCAAGAATCTGGGACTGTTCAATACTTTAGGAGAATTAGAGCAGAATCCAGAGAGAAAATCAGATTTCATACTTTGCCAGTACTGAAAACTCACAATTTTAACAACTATGTATAAAAGCGGCATCTTTCTATATTACTGCAGTTATTTTCTGGTTTATGAACTTAAATTAAGAATCCTCATTATCAATATGCTATTATAAACTGTATATCCAAATTATTTCC